CCCAAAGGAATTAGACTCCTGAAAGAGGCAGGTACTTCCAAGCTGCTCTGAAGTAGCTTTCATTATAATATATTCTCATCTCTGTGACCTGCAAATGGTCAGCTGATAATTCTTCATCCCATGGAGGGACTCACTAGGCTGCATTCTGGAATTGCCACAGCACTGATGCACATAAACTTGCTCCTAAAAGAAAGGTTGTGCCTTATTATGTTTTTTGGCCTGTTGGGAATGTGCAGCTCCTTGCTGAGAGCAGGATGGATGAGGGCAGGAATTTTGGGCTTGGCAGAGGTTGCCCAGCACTTACTGCAGGGCTGTGTCCTTGTATTTCATGTACCTCTCTGGCCATTCAGAGGTTGCAGGTTGGCATCATTCTGCACAGCAGCAAATGTGTTCAAACCTGAGATATTTTCCTAATGTATCCAGACACACAGCAACAAAACATTTTATGGCATAATAAGACTCATCCTCTGTCCCTAAATTATCCATAAAGCTCCAGCAGTAACTAAAAAAGTTAAGGGCTTTTGTGACAGTATTTTTTGCTTTGTTCTGTTTTCTGTCACTAATGTGTTTTATTTGGCATGAATGCTGCAGCCCAGCAGAGCTGGCTCACACAACACACTACTGAAAAATGGAGTTTTGTGCTGGAAAACACAACAGATTTCTAAGAACTGCTCTTCTCAGAAGCAGTTCTGTGCAAGAGGAACAGACACCTTTCCAGTACCCTCACTCTTCATCACATCACTTCAAATTATGGGCAGCCAGGCTCTGTCACAAGGGGATGCCCTGCACTGAAGAGCCCCATTGATTTCAGTGCAGTTATTTAGGAAATAATGTACTGAGTAATGTTATCAGAGCTTTCAGTCTGCTGCAGTGACTTCATTTGCAGGATTAAAAGAACCAACAGGGAAAAAATGAAATTTGAAGTGGTGGAACACCTGGATAAGTGTTTTCAGTAATCCCAGACAATATTCTCAAACTAGGGGGTGACAGTATAAATGCAAGATTAAATGACAGTAATGGTTCCTATACCCTCCTCAAAAGGGAAGATTTCATATAATTAAAGAAGGCATAAGGAAGGAATCAATCTCACTCATGGATGTGCTTCCATTTTGACCTGAATTTTGGTCTAAAAGTTTAGGATGTTTGCCTTCCCAAGGCAGAGATTATCAGAATGCCTAACTGAAAACACAAAATACAGACCATTTTTCCTTTTTACTTATTGCCACCTTTGACCCAGGCCCTTGGAATGACAATTTACTGTTTCTGTAGGGACAACCACTGTCTCTTAAAGAGGTAAAAATGGGAAATTTAAAGAGGTGCTCAAACTAGGATTTCTCTAAGTCATTATTCCTTCCCCCTGTTCAGTTGGTGAGCTTCAATACAAATGCTTTTTTTTCTGTGAAAGTTCTATTAAAGTTCTGTGGCTTAAAGGTAACCAGGAGCAAAGAGTATAAATTAATAAAATGGAGAAACAAATTCCCAGTTAGCATAAACCAGCTCTGTCCTTTCTCTCCACTATTGAAATTGAAAGCAGTAGTAGCCAATGGTGACCCAAAACATTCTCCCTCTCTAAATAAACCTTTCATAAGAAAGAACACAGCAAACAGCACTGGCAGTATTAAATCTGTCCATCATGATCTTTTCTGGATGTTGAATAGACTCCTTTTATAATTCCTTTCCATTTTCTTAATGAAAATTAAATAAAATGCTCCTGCTTTTTACCAGGTGAATATATATTGAATAAACATTTGACATCTCCTATCAGCTGAATTTAAAATCCAAACCTGTCTTCATATCTGTCCTTTCGCAAAAAGAAGCCATAAAAATATATCTGCACTGTCCTTCAAGGCTGTTAGACTGCTTCTGCAGTATTCCTTCTTGGTGAAATTGCTTGCACAAGACTTGCATTCAGAAAGAATCTAAAGAAGACATAGTGTGTTTCCAATGGCTTCCTATTCAGCAGCCCCTAACTTCCCAGGGCAAACAGCTCTCTTTTCCATCATCTTTATCTAAGGACAGTTTCTAACAGACTTTCATTCTCAGACTTGTCTCAAAGGCAAAATTGGGCCAGGGAACTCACCAGGGCTTTGAGTTTTTGTTGGATTGTTTGGTTAGTATATTTTATTATTTTTTGGTTTTGTTTTGGATTTTTCTGTTTTTATTTTCATTTTAGATGCATTTGCTCCATCATTCTTTTATTTTCATTATTGTTTTCTCTTTACCAAATGGATTTCACTTTTAAGCATTATCTAACATTTTATTTAGAAGTAAATCCTGAATCTCTGAAAAATGCAGCTCCTCTAGGAGATGAGTTCATAAAACAAAGGATCTTTCAACTCAGAATAAACAGGAAAATAATCTGAACTGCATCAAAAGCTGTCTACAGTGGACTTAATAGGAGTACTGTGAGGAACCTAATATCAAAACACATTCCCAGTCCCATCACAATTGGTCTGGAAGAAAATGTTACTATTTCATCTCTAAACATGTATTGAATAATAATGATTTATCAGTTTATTTGTTTAAGAGAAGTCAATATCTTGGTGAAACGATGGCAGACAACTCACAGAGATCACCTATACAAAACCAAATATCCACAGAAGTCTGATACAAGAAACCAGACCAGTAAAGGCCACATAAAATGGAGAAGACAGACCTTATTTCATCCCTACATCTTCTCATGTGATTAATAATTCCTTACATTTTCCTTCTGCCTGTGGTGAGGTGATACCCAGGTATCCACAGGCACCAGGCAGTGGAGCTGCACCTCTTGCCTTGTGGGATAGGATCAGGTAAGGGAAACTGAGAATTTGTTCCCTGTGCTTTTGTAAATCCATATCTTAATGTGACTGCAAAGGGTGGCATTCTGCTGGAACAAGGAGGAGCAAGAGTTTCAAAACCTCAAAGTTAAAAGCTGATGATTATGCACAGTCCTACTCTGATGGTATTTGTAGATTAGAAAATGAGGAAAAGCAGGAAAAATTTAAACTGTTCAAACTTCCTTTTCTCATTGTTGCTCTGTTTCTCCACTACCTATTTCATCATACATCAGCATTATTTATTTAATATATGACAGATAGGCTTTGCAACAAATACAATAGATGTGTAAACAGCATTTTTTTTACCAAGAAAACCCTGCAAACCTTTCACTGGGTTTGCAGAAAGTAGCATCAAGTATTCATACCAATCACTGGATTCTGCTGTGAATTTTAGAGCTTTTACTGTAATAGTTCCCACTTCAAATAAAATCAGCTCTTTGACCCTTGAGGCTCAGGAAAGACCATGAAACCCAAAGAATCACAAAGACATGAACAAAAATGAAATCCTCCTAAGCTCAGTGAGGTGATAGCTGTGGGTTACCTCAGGGATCAGTGTTAATTTACAGGTGGAAAAACCATTATCATCAACAAAGGTGTATTAATTTCCATCTTTCAAGCAACTAGTCCTTTTAAACACTGCAATTACTAATGACTTAGGAATCAGACTAAATAGTATACAAGAATAAACAGCCCTTTCAGATAATAGATACTTTCTTTAATACTAGCATATAATACAGAGAAATGTTTGAGACATCAAAGATAGGCACTGGTGTCAAACTGAAATGTTGAATAGAGGCACAGGTAACAGATTATTAACTGCTAATATGTGTCCAGGACTTGAAGTCATCACATAATTTGAAAACAGGAGGAGGAAACCCATACAAAAAACAGAACTTCCTTATTTAAAGTGTTACATCACAAATGAAACCTCCAGTAGCAAGGAAATAAATCCAGACAATAGTAGTTATGATGTCTCTGGAAATTATTTGGTCTCTTGTAAAACACAATTGCAGTACACTAAATTTCAAAATCTAAAGCCAAAATCCATTCCCTCCCCCTGAAATTAGGGTGTCAAATTTTTAACAAAAATGAAACTGTTGGAAGACAATTACCCAGGTGAGCAAAGCAAAACCGATGCACTTTGGGACCGGGCTAAGAAAATTCACAACACCAAGAACAGAGCAATGATGAATAAAAACCAACTACCCAAAAGTAAAGCAGAGTTGCAGACATTTGAAAATAAAGGTGACAGGTCTCCAGAATAAATTCTCTGCTGTGAATGACACTTGGTCTGTCACAGCCTTTCAGATGTCACAGGGAATACCCTCACACCTATATAAGTGTTCTGAAGTTACTGTTGTATTCTCTATTACATCCCAGCACCCAACTCCTGCTTTCAGGATTCTTAGCATGCAATATTTCAGTAGAGTATGCAGGAAAACCCCCTAACAGCCATACTGTCTCAAGAGCTGGTGGATGTTATCATGCATGTGACTACTCTAAGAAAATAGCAGAGTAATTATTTTCCATAAATCCAAGGTACCAGAGGGAGACCACACACCTCTACCAACAGCACAAGCACATTCTATTGAATGTATTTGAAACAATCAAAGGTAACTCCTTCATTCTCTAATTAATTAGCTGGAAAAGAAACACTGGGGGTACTTGAATGACACCCATACCACTTTTAAAACCACAATGAAGTTCAAAGCAAACAGGCAAAAAAAATGTTTTCATAACATTCTTCACTTTTTCAAAGCATGAAAAAATCACAGTATTTAAAAGTTAGTCTCTTTCCTTCCAATAGAAAACCCTGCCCACTATGGCTTAAAAGTTATTTTTAAAAATTAATTTACCTGTCTATGAACTAGAGCATCAGTATTATTCATAGAAACAAAAGAAAAGAGGGGGGGGAGGGAAGGAAAAATAAAGAGAAGCTCTTGTCCCTGGACAGCTCAGCAATACCTGTTTCATGCAGCATGACAGCAGGCTCTTCCAGAAAACACCTGCAATATCTTTATATCTCATCCCCAGAATACAAACCTTCTATTTGACAATGAAAATTTAAAAGCACTTGTTGTCTCTCTTCTGCCTGTTTTTTTTTTTTAAAGTACATTCTCACATATAATATGAATTGCATTGCAGATATCAGGGATTAGTGGAAAGCTGAAAGCTTCTTACCAAGTACCCCAAGGCGATAGTTGACTGTGATGACTATCACATTCCCATAACTTGCTAGAACACTGCCATCATATAAATTTCCAGTGCCTTCCATGTAGGACCCTCCGTGAATATACACCATCACAGGCTTAGGTCCCCCACTGTCCCGAATGTCTGGAAAAAATATTAAGACACATTTTATCTCAAGAAAGCACCAAAGAAGATACATGCAATTTTTAAATTGATTTATTTTTTTTTAAGTGAGTTATTTTTTCTGGAAGTGTTTCTCAAGCAACATTTTTCACATAAGGAAATGGGCAGGTGGGCACAAGTGTTTCTTTGTGGCTTGCTCGTAACTAAAACTCCTGTTTTCGAAACACTCTGAAAAGGAAGTGAAAATGGTAACACATTTGCTCAGGTGCAGTGAGGCATTGCTCTGATTCTGACCCTGCTGAATTGAGTGTCTTCTGCATGGTGCCTACTAACATGAGAGTGAGCTCATTTCAGACGAACACTTGCAAAAACTCAGTGCAACTTTCTGTTCACTTAGCTGAGGGAAATCCTACATATTAAGATAAACTGCTCCAACAAATTAAGATAAAGATTTCTGCTCATACATAAAAGTGTTGATTACTTCCAGTCCACTAATTTGTATAAACAGCTGACTTAGGATGGGTCTGAAGTTTGAGTTCAAAAAGTACTTGAAAAAAGAAAGTACTTGTTTAGCACTTAGACCTTGCATAAAGATTATTGATAACTTGGGTAGCCTGAAGGTTAAGGTGCATGGGCACTTGATGATTTCCTAAATCATGAAAAAGACTGAATATTTGAATGAATAACTGCCTGGAACAATATTGAAAAATCCCCACCCTGTATTCAAAAAAAACTGTGAGATTCTCAAAAGTGACATCAAAGGTAGGGAACAGTTTTAAAATGTTAGAAGCTCTGCCATTCTCTCTGACAACAAAATTAGATATTGTCACACTGTTTTGAGTTTTGATTTAGGTATCCCTCCACCCCAAAACAGTCCTATTTGCAAACGGATGCATCTACTCAGGAAAAAATTTTGACTATATGAACAGTGCTACTCCTCTTGAGGAGAATTGTTCCTGAGTACCAATTCAAAGCAGTTAGTATGGGCTGGTATGTTTTTAAAAGTTGGGGGGTTTCTGTTGGACAGGAAATAAATCAGCTTAGGTGTAAATTTAAACTCTTACATCTGATTAAATTGCATTTTGTTCTGATTTACTGGGTGCCTGAGTCTCTTTCACCACACAAATCATAATATGCCATAATAGTCCCTCAAAATCAAGAAAGACAATAGCAAGAGAGCCCAGGAAAATTCGCCAGTGATGAACTGTTCTGAATATTCTGATTCAAAACCACTTTTTTTTTGCCATTATGACAACATTCAAGTGACTTCTCTGGTTGCTTCCTTCAGTGCTTGAAGAAACCTCAGATGTATTGTTTATTCCTTTGATTGGGAAGGATCTTAGTTAAGAAGCTTTCAAGGGAGCTCTCTGCAGAACTGTTGGAATTGTTTCTGAAGCACTGTAAGGAGCAGGAGGGGGAAGCTACACTAAAATCCCTGCTTTTGGAATTTGCTGGAAAACATCAGCACAGAGGTTTCTGTTTATAAAAAGCCAACTGCTACGATTATTTTGATATTGATTCTAATTTGAAGAAAATGCCAGGACAGTCAAGATCAGAAATTGGATCTTCAATACTGGAAGTGCTAGAACAATCACTTATTCAACACCAAAAAGATGATGAAAGGTTGTGAATGAAATTGCTTGTATTGCTTTTCTTGATTGAGCCTTTAGTGAGGGCTTTCCAACATGCAGCTTGGAGTGTAAAGCTACAGATTATTTATCTTCACTGTCCATAGGATGGAGTTATGAGCTCCTCAGGTTTAAAATCTACACTGTGGAAAAAATCTTTCCAAATTCATATGCAGTTTCAGTAGATGTTTTGTTAGTCTGTGCTGCCTTTTCTATTTTTTTATATAAATATGGAAGCAATAATAAATTATTAATCTGAAATCACTGTGTGACTGTTCCCAGCAGAAATTGTACACAGTTAATTGTATGCTTGATGGTAACACAGGGGGAGACTGTCTCAGAATTCTTCTTTAATTAAAATTACATAGAATTAGAGAGCACCAACAGTGAACAGCAATGAAATGTTGGTAGAACTGGCCTGTATATCTGAAAAATAATGGAATATTTAGAAAAGAATGGGTGTCGTTTATCTGAGAAAGGAAGCACATATTCATGAATAAAATCTCATATATAAGGAAGTTATTATTTGAGTAATTTCTGTCTCTACAATACTGTTATTTTCTACTACTAATATCCTTGTAGAGATTACAGATCAGATGGATAAGGAAGGCCAGTTTCCAGCTCTGCCTCTGTGCCATGTCAGGCCAAATGACATGCAGAACGAATTTTCCTCATGCTGCTTTACCAAAGTCATCAGTCTTAAGAGGAATCCCTCTTACAAAAGAAAAACTGTGCATCTGAGTGTCTTGGGCAGCGATTTAGTGCTGGAGACATCACTCAGGGTGTGCAGAATTCAGCTGAGGCTGGTGGGGCTCTGGGCTATGGATTATACAAAGCTGTGGAGCTCTTCATGGGAAAAAAGATCACTGCACTTTGGTCAGAGATTTCATATCAATTGCAGTCTATAGCCAGGAATATTTGAAAGGTGCAAATATTCAGCTGGGAGAGTGTTGTTTAAATACATATGTTATTAACCACTGAGATTATTAACTGATACAACTGAAGCAAGAGAGAAAAAAATCGGATTATAATCAAGAATTGATTCCTACCTTAAAATGTTCCTCCATGAAAACTCTCATCCTTTAAAACTAAACTGGAAGGAGAATTAAAAGAATACTCTGTGAGGAGAACACTTTTGTGTATTGGTACAAAAGTGGCAGAAAGATGCACTTTAAAAAGGTGATTATTGAAGTTAAGTGTCAGTGAAGTAAGTAATTTATGTTTTTGGTACTCAGGTACTTTTCAAAACCTGACCATAAATGATACATCTTTCATTTTTTCCTACAGGCTGGTGTCAGTCCTTTCTGTGCATGTGCTGGAGTGATCTCAGGACACTGTAATTACACTTTCATATGCAGATTAATAGTTATTCATGGATGCAGATTAATTGTTTGTGTTTGTAGCTCATTCTGAACCTGAAGACTTTAGGTGTAAATGTGGCATTTCTGCCAAGAGTAGATTTATAGACTGATTTAATTTAGTTGTGTTCTGCACTTTTGTTGCTTTTTATTAAGTGTTGCTTTAATTAAAAATGGACACATTCATCTTTTCAAAGACGTATGCAAGGATAGCACTGTTAAAAATCCTTCTCAAATTCAAGTCAGTTCTGGTTTCAGTCACACAGAAGATCATTTTTGGGTGCTGTGATTTGTTTAGCTTTAAATTGCTAGTTCATTAAACCTCTAAGTAGATCTTACTGTACAGCAGAGGATTAACCTCATTTATATTACATATACATTAACTTTCTTGTAATTATTTCTATTATCACTTCTATTCTGTACCTTTCTAATGTTTGTTGCACCTACTTTCTATGTCTCATCTTAATTATGTTACAGACAATTTAGGAATAGGGCTAACTTTCATTCTGTGTTTGTTACATTACACAACAGGCAACCAGGTCTGACTGTGAATATCAGTCACAATTGTCATATGTAACAAAATATAATTATAGCTTCAATCATTCAAAACTGCTGTGAATTGGGCACGTGACTTAACAAACATAATTTGCAGGGCACAACCAAAATGGGAATGGAAAAAAGCCTGCCTGGAGGCAACTTCACACAAAAAGATAATTAATTTAGCACCCATGTCACAAGCATTGCTTTTCTAGATGGCATAAAAAATTGTGACAGCTTGATGCAGATTGTTAAGTAAATTTTGGGTTTTGAACATGAAACAGGCCCAGAACAGTGGAAAACTTTTAGATTGGTTAGTGAAAAACCTGTGTGTGCCCTCCAAAGATTGTAATGTGGGTATGTGGATATGTGTGTAACTGTTCTATAAGCTTTTGTAGAAAATATTTAAGTAGAGCATGGTACCAATCATTGCTACTCTTAATAATTTTAAAGCCTTTTAACAGCATTTGACCTTTCAGTTCGAATCCATCAGATGCCTTATAGTTGCACTACCATTTAATAAACTAGTGCACTTAGTCCTAATATGTAAACATCCATTAATGCCACATTTTTAAAATGAGATATAAAACTAGACTATTAAAATCTAGTTCCAAGACTATTAAAGCAACTATTGAGCTTCTGTGAGGCATTTCAGATATGTTTTCTATTTTAAAATACAGCCTGCATCCCTCAGGCTTCAGACAAATAGAATTCTCTCCCTTTGTTTGTTTTCCTATCTGTCAAACCAGGGGATCATTTTGTGCACTCTCAAACCCTTAACTTCCTTTACCTGGAAATTATTTGAGATCCTGATGGAGGACTGTATGAATGTTAACCTAGCATGAAAAAGGCCAAAGCTTTTACAGGTAAACATCTGGAGCAGATTCCCATTAGAGCAGGACCTCAATAGCCAGGTAGGCAGTCATTTTAAATTATTAAAGGGTGATGGTTAGAAATGCAAAAGCTGACAGACTCTTCACTGTACAAGCAATGCTTGGCAGTGCTGAAAGTAAAATGAAGCCCTAAAGAGGTACTTAAATTAAAGGTCTGTCAGAATTTTATCATGCATGTTTTCAAGTATTAATAACATCACCACAAAATTTTGACACAATTTGAACTGTGTGTAAAGGGAAAATAAAATCTGCACAATTTAAAGTGCAAATGGCGTCGGAAGCTGTGCGTCGGAGAGGAAATCACGGAGCTGACATGAATGGGTGACAGGAGGAACAGGAATCATAAATTTGGCTACGTGCATCAGTCAACAAGCTCACCCAAAGTGGTCAGATCTGTGCTACCCCAGCCTGGCTGGCTCTCATTAAGGGCTATAATTAAGGCTGGAGCATGTGGTTGCTTTGCAGGGCAGACGAATGTGTTCTGCTCTTTGCTGATCTCCCAAGTCCAAAAACGTGCAAGCAGTGCCAGACAGGAAGAGTGTTGCTCCCCCTCTTTCTTACCACCACAACTGAAGGCAGAAGAAATGCCAAACTTGGCATCTCAGTGTATTTTAGTACCAATGGAGTGACAGGGGCTTTTGGAGAGCCTCAACTCTGCAATGTGCTCCTTCTCACCAGTGGCACTGCAGTCTGTTAAGCGTAAGAAGGGATTTGCAGATGAATTCTGCATCATTAGCAACTTTGAGTTGGTTTTTGGCATTTTTGATTTAAAACATGCTCTAGACCAAGAACTTCCTTCTGTCAGAGAAGTCCAATAGCCCATACAAGACAGAGCACCAGACTAAATTACCAGAATCATCACAGTTACAGGCTGTGAGCAAACAGCAACATCTGCTCCTAATCTGTCTCCTTTTCCACAGGAGAAATTGGAAGGGAGGAGGGAAGAGCAGAAGCATCTATCAACTACAGTGCAGACCCCACTTCTGAGGCATGTACTCTTAGCAACAGACATGGTGTCTGCATTCCTCAGACTTGGCATCTGTATTCTTCCTTTCTAAAAATGGAATAGCAGCATTCCTCTATTGCAGAGGGATGCTGTGAGCCTGAATACATTAAAAACTGAGATGCTCAAACAGCACTGGGGACTAAATAAGGATTTAAGATTGACAGATTGATGTGCCAGGCAAGGTGTGTATGATAGAGCAGTGGATGAGAATTCATTTGTGAGCAATCCTTCATGGATATTTCGTAGAACACTAACTACTTACAAGTCCAGTTCTGATCCCAGAGTACATTGGCTGGTTAATGATTTGTGTTGCCAAAATTTAGGTCATGCTTAGGATTTTAGTGGATAGGAACTAAGGTTGCCTAAGAGTCACTGATTTTTTGCTATAGCCAAATTAAATTATTACCTGACCAAAATTAAGACTAAGGCAAGACAATAAGATTAAAATATTTTACTTTTTAAAACTAAGCCTTGTTTCCAGACTGGGGAAGGTACATTTCGTGTAACTGCTGAACAATCTGAAGGTAAATTTTTCATCTACACTAGATACTGCATACCTGCAGGTCAGAAAATTGGCAAACCCACCACTGCTATACAGAGGGAAAGCCCCAGTGCTCACTGCTTGCAACTGCTTTTGCCACTCTTGTTTTTGGTGCCTGCTCAAGTCATTCAATATTTACAGAAAACAGGTAAGCACTAGAAGTGTAGGAATGAAAGGGTTAAACAGAAAGAAGAATGAATCCAGACTGGGGGGAAAAAAAGGCATTTATATTATTTCTGACTTTTCACACTCATAGAATTTGAAAACACCTTCAATTTTTAAACAGCAAATAGATCATTAGCTGGTAATGTGCACTACTGCCTTTGGCTCTTTTGAAAACAAAAATGAAAAATGATCTAATTAAGCCTGGTCTAGTGGTTGCAGCACATAACAGAGATCCAAGTTTGATTACTGACTCCAGTGCTTGTGCTGGCAAGGTTTGCACCAATGCTGTGGTAATGGCAGCAGCTGATGGGAGTAGGATTATTGAACGGTGTTTTAAAATGAAATCTTCTAATCAAACTCAGATATTTGAGTGGCACAACACAAAATGTTCTCCAGATGTTTCCTGCAAGAAGCTGCTATGGAAGCTCTTTCTTCAGAAAGATAGAATACGATAAACAGACCTGAGATCTCTGGATTTTTTGATGTAAAGATCATCCTGGGCATTTTAGAAATCACTGGCCATTGTTTATGTAACATGGACTCTATGGATATCGGATAAGTTGTTTTGCACATGTACAGCCCAGTGTCCCTAATGCTCCAATTTCATCATTCATTCACTTCAGCTTTTTTTTCCCCCACAGCTATTCATTTGAAGGATTTTGCAGTGCCTAAAATCTACCATCCTACAAAAAGTGAAGGCTTTGAAGGACAGGCTAGCAGAAAACTGGAGAGCTAAGGTGACCTTTTGCTTGGCCTGACTCTTTCCTGCTACTCATACCCAAACTCATACAGCTGAGTTTGTGAACTCTTCAGTTCTGCACGTGCAACAAGTTCTAGAGTTTCAATACAGAGGAGCAGGTTCACAAAAATGCAGGACTTCTGATCCTGCTCCTCCCCTGGGAAATGCAGGGTCTCAGTAGACAGGGCTTCTATCAACCCAGCTGAAAACCCAGCAGTCTAGAGTGTCTAGTGATCATAAAAATTTAAATTTTCCCTGTCTCTCTGTGCCTCTCGGAAGCAGTAAAAGTCTAATTTCTGCCTGCACTCTTCTATTGGCACGGAAAGGAGAACAAAACTGTCACTTGTATGCCAGAGAAAATTAATCCCAGTCCTATAAATTACAGAGATTTATTAGTGTTGTAAATGTTCTTCTTCCCCCCTAGTTTGACTGCAGTGTTCTTACAGTCCTTATTCTCTCTCCTGCAATTGTCAGAGAGGGAGACAGGTTTTCCCTGACATGGACACTTGTTCTCAGCAGACTGAGATCCCTCCTCTCCTCTGAGCCTACCTACTGAAGTACTTTCTGACAGCAACCACTCTCTGCTGAATTTCAGTAAACTGAGGAGGCTCTTTGAAGTCTAAGCAGAGAAGGACTCAACAAATCCGATGTCATTAGCATCTGTCTTGGCAATTATACAGGAATTTAGGAGAGCTACTAAGGCCCACTGGGTGAATAGCCCAAATTTCAAGTGGTTTCTTGTTTGTTCAAACAAGACAGAGTAATGGCTAATTCACTATCCCAGATCTTTGAGAATTCATAAGAATATCCCTTGCAATATTCTACCATGGACTCTTGGAAAAATGTCCTGACTTCATAAAACTAGGAGAATCTCAATTGTCATAATTAGCTCTGAATAGTGTGGCCTGATTTCAGCTGGGATAGAGTTAATTTGTGCACTTAGGGTGAGAATAATGTTGATAACACGCTGATTTTGAAGTTGTTGCTGTGCTCACAGCAAGGCAAGGTTAGGAGGGGACAGAGCCAGGACAGCTGAGCCCAACAGGCCAAAGGGATATTCCAGATATTCCATATCCTGTGGCATCATGTTCAGCATGTGACCTGGGGGGAAGCTGGCTGGGGGTCACCGCTCAGGAGCTGCTGAGCATCAGCCAGGGGCCATGAGCAATTCCTCTGTGCACCACATGTTTGGCATATCCTCATTTCTTTATCACGATTATTCCTATTATTTCATTTCATTTCCGTCATATTAAACTGTCTTTATATCAATTAATAATTTTACTTTTATATTTCCTTCCCCAGTTCTCTCCCCCAGGAAGGAGTAAGTGACTGGCTCAGTGCTGTCTAGCTGCCTGCTGGCTTAAGCCACCACAGGAGAGCTTTCAAAGGAGATTTTCAATTTATCAAAATCATCAAATCTTACCAATTTTGGCCCAGCTGGTGGGCTTTCATTTGTATGCTTTAACATACAGATCCAGTAAAGGATCATCAATCAATCATAAAATTGTGACAAAATCTGTGTTCAGTTACTGGGTAAGAAGTTAAATGCTCAAATTTTCCTTCCTTTATCTTCTCTAAAAAGACTGTGTGCTCCTGTTTAAGTTAAGTAGTTGATGTTCTGTGTGATGAAAAACTTTTTAATTAAGAGCCTTCCAGCCTACAAGTTTCATTTAGTATCTGGCCAACGTCCCCCTGACACCCCAAATATTAAGAGAACAGCAAGCAGCAACTCTACCTCTCCCATATGGTAATTTGTTTTACTCATTGACCATAAACCATACAAAGCGTGTTTAAGATTCAGAACTCTGAAGCACATCTACTTGAAGGGATGAGACCTCTCAGGAAAAAGAGCCCCTTGTTACCATTTTCATAGCCCTGAAAAAATATCAAATCTGCATAGCTTCATGATCAACAGACATAATTTATGAACAGAATAATATGCTTGACATTTCAAACTTTTGATTTTACTTGGTAATAGGGTTTTCTAAGGGTCAGCTCAAGCAGATCAGCATCTTTGTATGCTTGCAGAAAACAGAAGACATTGGGTTCCTTTAGTTTTAGTTTAGCTCCACAGAGCTTCACCAGCTGGCAATGCTGCCTCCCTTCTGGAGGGAGGTGGGGTATCCTTTAATTTATTTATATTTTTTCATTGCAGCATAAATGCAGATGGGTTGGCATTTGGGGAAATTCAGTTGCTTAAGAGACACTTTTAAGGAATTTTCTGAATTTTTCCTTTTTTAAACACAACATTTTCTATGTTTATCAAACTGAGATCAGTCAGTGAAAAAAAAAAAGAAACATCTTTGTACTTGGTGAAATACATAGGGTTAGAAAACATGCAAAAAGGTGTACAGAGAAACTTTAAAAGAGTGTTAGTTTAAATAGTATGGACAAAATTCAGTCAAAAGGTGGGATGCAACATATCAAAAGTCCATTTCAAGAAAACAAAAAACCTCCTTTTTAAATATTGTTACTGTTTTGTAGCAAAACGTAGAACTTAACAACATTCTTTCTTTTAAAAAATTAAAAATATATATGTATAACAACAAGCAAGAAGACAAAACACATCAAAAATGGGAATTAAAAAAACAAAAAAACTCTTCAAAAGAAGACAAGAAGTCAAAAAAAGAGGGGAGAAAAAAGATTTTCAGGGATCCTTGTCATGCAAATCAGTTTGGCGGCAAAAAATACCTTCATCTTCAGCACCTTCATTATCACCTAAATCATCTGTCTGTTTCTTTGTAAGGGGACCTAGGATTAAGAACGGAGAAAATGGAGGAAAAAAGACAATTCAAGAATATACAAGACTGAGGAAAAAAACAGTGAATATTAAATTCCCACGGACGTTTCAAGAAAAACATTTGCAGGGAGGGAAATCTTAGTTTATAACAACCCATTTTTCATTAAGTTTTTCAAATATTACAGCAAAACCTTCCCTAGGGGGTATGGCTATTAGAAACATCTAGCACAAGAATCAGAGAGTGCCCAGTGTTTTATTGTTTTTAAATGAAGAATCAAAGCTTGTTTACTAAAAGCATACCCCGCCATGGACTGTATTTATCCACTTCATTTAATTGGTTTTTTCCTGTTGCTGTTATTAGGAATAGTGGAGACAAGAACTGCCAAATTACCTCTTGCATTTGATGCAATAAGGTGGTTAATAAAAGTCTTGACAATTGGTTAAAACAATATTTTCTGTCAAATGCTAATTCACATTTTTAAATTCAAGCATTTAAGCTCATGCTTTACATAAAGATAAGCCCGGGTTTAATTTTTGAGGGTTTTTGACACATTCATCACATTCTCTTTAAAATAGAGCTGTAGATACCCTTGAAACCTTTGACTACCTGCTGAGATATTTGTAAGGAAACATGAAAATCCATATGTAAACCAGAAACAAGAGTGAAATCCCAGACCAACTGAAGACAATGACTTTTGCCATTGGTTTCAACGGGGCCAGAGTTTCATGCAAAAAAAATTGCATTGAATTGAAATTTTAGCTTGGGCAAGGCATCTGGGTTCATAATTCCTTATCTCCATAAAAGGAGGATGACAGAAAATTCCTTTATGCCCAGCACCTGTATTATTAACAGTATTAGTATTTCTAGAGTTATCATATTTTCCAATGGGAAAAATGCCCATTCCTTTACTGAGTAATAAAAATATACACCAGAAGGAAAGTCAAAGGCCACTCTGATAATATTTCCATGTCATATATTTTACACACTTATGCACAAACAAAAGACAGTTGGAACTCAGCATTATCTTTCCTTTTTTTTTCAGAGCTCTCTCATTTCCATGACATTCTGTAATTTGCATGCGAAAAAGCAATCAGTACGAACACAGGGCTAAGTAACAAAAAAAGAAAAAGCCAGCCAAGCACAGAGTAGAAAACAAGAACTTCCTCATGCATAAAATAGCAATAGACAAAAACAACAACAAAAAAGAGATGAACAGTATGTGTTGATATTTGCAGTAGATGTAGGCAAGAGACATGCATTAAATCTAAGCACTGTGGAGTATTAAAACATTTGTATTTAAAAAGCTCTCTGTTATTTTACAGGATTTTAGTCATTCAGCATTGAACTTGTCATTTATAGGCAAAATACCATGTATTTGAGTGATGCATTTTTAAAAAAAAAATCATAAAATGTTTTTACCAGTTGCATGGATTTAAGAAACAGAAATAAAACCATGAAGTACCATGAGACTTTAACTGTGAATGTAGGAACTGGACCATATTATTGAAAACCAAAGCTCAATACCTTAATTCCTGCATCAGTCAGGAGTATAGTTTTTAACTCATTCTAAATACAGAACACTGGAATTATACATGGTAAATAAAACATAAGCATTTTTATATTCACACCTCTAACAATCACTCTGCTCAGCTGAAAGCCTTGGTGGTGCGAGTTTTTCCTACTACAAGCCCTGGATATTTGCAATATTTGGTGTCTGCATAATGTGCCCTGATCCAAACACACACATTCAAATATCTCTCAGCCCAGCATTTTCAGACAATAACGACTTTACTTCTAAAAGAATAAAATCAGAAATATAAAAAGTCTATGAAAAGAATTACAGTAATTTTGTGATGGGTTTTCAGCATAGAGAACAGGAAGAATGAATTTAAGAAGGGCAAGAGCTGTGTACTTAAGAATGGAGATGCAGACAGAAGCAAGGATATATATATATATATATATATATATATATATATATTTATACACACACACATATGTTCTTAATAACTTCTTAGATTTTAAATTTTAAAAGTCACCAGAAAGGGGCAAAGTGGCATCTGGAAAGGCAAACAACACTCATTTCTCCAAATAACTTGCATAGAGATGGGCAATTTATTTTCTAGATGAAACCAAGACAATGTATGTGACATTTTTTTTAATAACTGCCCTTTGGCAGGTGTTTTGTGTAGATCATGGTTCCAGATCTCAACTTCAATTACAAAGTGCATCAACCATCTCAATATAAATGTCTGGCCTCATACTATTTCTGATTTTACAATATGGTAAAGCATGACTGGGGCTAGCTTTAAAAATAATCTGGATAATTTCCATGTTTATACCATTCTGAGGTTCTCTGAAAAACATTTTAAAAAAAAATCAGACCATCTTCCTTCAAATCATAGAATTGTTTAGCTTGGAAAAGACCCTTAAGATCTAGCCCAGGCAGTAACCCAGCACTGCCAAGGCAGCCGCTAAGCCATGTCCCCAGGAGCCACACTCACACATCTTTTAAATACCTCCAGGGATGGTGACTCAAACACTTCCCTGGGCAGCCTCTTCCAGTGCTTGACAATTCCTTCTTGCAAAGGGGCTGACCTATTTTTAAGCTGTCATAAATTAAACATGTTTTTTTAATATAGCAGTAGATGTGTTTCACAATACAAGGGCTCTGCTCCCCACGTCCCCCCAAGCAGGAGGACTCATCCCCCTGGAGACACGTGGCAGAGCCACCAGGCACCACTCACAGTGCCTGGGAAACAGAGGAGAGATTATTTCTCCCACAAGTTCACTCCAGCCTGCAAATATGATGGACAACACTTATTACAGAGAGATTTTCTGCTTCCTGGAACTATAACGCCCTGAGTCCAAGAAACCAAAGCAGAGTTTAGCCCTCATGTAGCAGGCATGAACCTCCTTATATTTTATCTAAACACACAGGGATGCTGTGAGGCTTAATTTCTCTTTTTTAATTGCTGGGCAATCCCTAAAAGAAGCATCAGCTCAAGACCCACTGTGCACAGGGCAGCCTGGAGGGGTTCAGCCCCTCTGAGAGGAGGCAGAGCTGCTCTGATCTGTGCTGTCTGCTCCACCTGCAGATGCTGAAAACACTTCCTGAAGTCATGAAAGTGGTATTAAGAGAAGCTCTGGATTAGAATTCCACCCCTTTCAGCAATAACTCTCATCCTAAAATCAGTAAGAAATGGCTTTTGCTTCTGATTCTCCAGATAACTGATTACTCTGACTAACAGCCTCGCTGTGTCTGGATGATCATAAAGAAAGATTGATGTTTTGAGTCCTCACACAGGAAAACACGCTGAAATCACAAGCAGATAAACAGAATAAAATCTAATGGCAAGAACCTGCAAAATGTAGCAGCAATTGCCTTTTTAAGTAAAAATAAATCAGAACTGAAATTCCTTAGTAAGTGTATAGTTTTTAGATATTTTCTGCAGCTTTCAATTAACATTCTACAGATACTTTATGATTTTGTAAATTAAATGCATCCCTTCAACTAGGTTAATTTCTTTAGCACTGACTGTTCACTCAATATATAATTTTTTAGAGTTCTTCCATCATTTTATTATTCTTTTCAGGTAACAGAAACTAATTTAAGAATATTAATATTAAGACATAATGGACTATGAGCCAATGAAACAAAAAGGAATATCTTACAAAACTATGATTGCCAGAAGTATTTTGTCCCAAGTTACTTTTCACTGTTCTACTGTAGCCTTCTTTTTACCTTTTGTGAAGGCCCAATTAATCTTACTTTTTGAGCATTTCACTTTCAAATATGGGCATCCATTATAAAAAAAAGGATTTTACTATGTTTAACTCACAAGCCTTCAAACAGATAATGCTGCCATACTATACCAACCTAGATTTTAGCTAAAGTTTATGCAATAAATATTAAATATCAACAAAGTAATAGATGCCATAACTAATGGGGGGGAAAGAGGATATTAAAGCCTCTAAAATGCTGATGCAAATATGATTTACTTATCAAAAGGCTCTCTAAGGTTTTGTCTCATTTAGTCTCATGTTGGTGCATACCCATAACTCTCATTAATGCTAATGGGAAATTAGACCCCTAAGTCACTTTAAAAAGGGGGGAAAAAAGTGATTACTGCATTTTATGTTTCCTAAAGGCAAGGAACAGTCTCACTACAAAAGCCAAAGAAACTCAGAGCACAGGAGGCACTCCTAACGAAGCCTATACTCATTTAATTTAAAAATAGCTTTTGCATTATTTAAATTATTATTCAAATATTTATTCTGTTTGTATTGCAATCAATGCTAAGGCACTAACAGGCTGCATTTTTAGATCTTGACAGTGAGTACTGTGTGCTTGCAGATGCCTTTCCTTTGCTCAAAATAAGAGAAATAACATACCTCCTGTCCAGTTAGCTAAAGAGTAATTATGCACTCAGAAATAATTAAATCCAGCCATATTAATGCTGGTTTTCATCATTCCCTTTGATGAAGGACTAAGGTACTTTAGCTCCCAAATACATTAAAGCTGATTATAAATTCTCTCTTTATGGGCTTGATTCGGCAGAAATTATCCGTGGCCTTTCGGACTGCAGGAGTGTGGGAGGCACGGGGGCTCTGGATGTCATTAGCTCTTTGGCCTGGGAAAGCTATTCATCATCAAATAGAGTCATGCTGCAAGTTGACACCATTTTGCAAAACAACAGTGCAAATCCTCTAAACTTAATAAATCAGGGCTGATGTATACGGCCATTGTTGGGGCCAAAATGTTCTCCTTCGGTAATGAGGAAAGTGGGGAAGAAAAAAGACCTTTTGCATTAGGTTAAGTAGGCTCCATGGATCCAGTAATTTAGAAATCACCATAGCAAATAATTATTCTTTGAGGTAAGGTGTCTGCTCGATGGAAAGGGGAAGAGACAAGACTGAGGCTGACTGCTGAAATTATACTTGTAGAAAAATTCACCGAGTGGGTTGCAGCACTGTGGAATGTGACATTGCATATTTACATGTATAAATGTA